TTCTCCCTGTGTCTCGTCACATCCACATTGTCTTTCCTCTAAGTGTGTCTGTCTCTGTGTCCCAGTTCCCCTCTTTTTATGAGGACACCAGTCATGTCAGATTAGGGTCCCCTCTGATGACCTCATGGTACCTGATTGCCTCTGGAAAGACCCTATTTTCAAATAAGGTCACATTCTGAGGCTCTGGGGGTTAGGACTTCAACATATCTTTTAGAGGGGACACATTTTAACCCATAACACAGAGGGGCAACCAGGGAGGCCTGCATACCAGGCTGGGAAGGTGAGGTGAGGCCAGGGCATTGGGACACAGCACAGGATCTGGGGCTTAGTGTTCCGGGCCTTTTCTCTGTACCTTCCCATGGGGTCTCTTGTCTTGGGGGCTCCCTTGTAGGAGATGATAGATGTCCCCTGTCCTTGCTCTCTGGGCCTGGCACAGTGCCAGCACTGGGGACGGAGCAGTGTCCCCTCCCCAAGGTGCGCAGTCCAGTGCGGGGAGAGGGATGACCCAGGTGCAGGCCACCCTTCCAGGGTGGCCTGGGGTCAGGGATGTGGCAGCCCTGGTCACCCCCATGGCTCCTGGGGACTGACTGCCTGGCCCCCTGCAGGTTCATGGGCGGGGGTGGCGAGAGCTGCAGCCTCATCGCTGAAGGTCTCAGCACTGCCCTGCAGCTGTTCGACGACTTCAAGAAGATGCGGGAGCAGATGTGAGTGTGCCCGGCACGTGGGGCTCTGTCCACCTGTCTGCCTGGCTTGGAACCTGCTTTGCCTGTCACAGAACTCCACCCCAGCCTCACAACGGGGAGTCGGGGGTGCTCTGAGGGCCGGGCCCTTGGGGCCAGGAGGCAGGAGGTGTCCCCAGGCCCGTGCCCATTCTCAGTGTCCTCATTAGAGAGCAGAGCCAGCTCGGGGTCTGCTTCCTGCCAGCCCTGCTCGCTGGGCGAGTCTCAGTGTTCTTAGCTGAGAAATGGTGCCCTCACTCCTGACTTCCTGTGGGGCAGGGGACTTGAACCTCTGCTGGGTCTGGGTCTGGGTCTTTTCTCATGGTCCCTGTTGCCACCTGCCCCACATCTTTCCTTGTCCCCGGCAGTGGCCAGACGCACCGAGTCTGCCTCCTTATCTGTAACTCACCCCCGTACCTGCTACCTGCTGTGGAGAGCACCACGTACTCGGGGTGCACGACCGAGAGCCTTGTGCAGAAGATAGGGGAGGTGAGAACTGTATCTGAGGGAGGAGGGCTGGGGCCTGGCATCCAGGGTCACAGAGTAGTCAGACTCTGGGGCCAGCCCTGCTCCTGTTGAAAGCACTGTAATCCGGACTCCCCCCAGGCAGCTGACACAGGTCTTGTGGTTTCCTGGCCCAAGGGCTGATGGGAATTTGGTTTCAGGGCCCAGCAGGTGTCACAGCCTGGGAGGAGGGCGGGGTGGGGAGTTTGGCCCCTGTGGCATCTGCCTGACTGCTCCTCCCGCTCCTGCAGCGCGGGATCTACTTCTCCATCGTGTCTCCCCGAAAGCTGCCTGCTCTGCGGCTTCTGTTTGAGAAGGCGGCTCCTCCGGCCATGCTGGAGCCACTGCAGCCACCAGCAGACGTGAGCCAGGACCCGCGGCACATGGTGCTGGTGCGGGGGCTTGTGCTGCCCGGTGAGGCCTGGGTGCTGGTGGGGGGACACGGGGGCGCCCTCCCCGGCTCCCTCTGAATTGGATTTTCTTCCCCTCTCTCAAATCCCTTCTTGTGGGGCTTGACTCTCCATCCTTGGCTCTCAGTTGGGGGTGGCTCGGCCCCAGGCCCCCTCCAGCCAAAGCAGCCTGTGCCCCTGCCTCCAGCTCCACCCTCAGGCGCCTCACTCTCGGCAGCCCCCCAGCAGCCCCTGCCCCCCGTGCCCCAGCAGTACCAGGTACGGATGTTCAAGAAAGGGACCCACTTCTGGGCCTTGCAGGAGCCCTGGCTCCTTGGGAGAGACCTAGTTGGATGTTGGGCTTTGTGGGATGATGAGAGTGTCCCTTGAGACGTCTGGAGGCTGGAACTCTAGGGGCTGGGGAGTCCCATCCTGGTGGACGGTGAGGGGAGTCATGAGCTTTTACGCAATTGGAGATGGAGTGCGTGGTCTTCACCAGCCCCTCTCTCTGTCACCAGGTCCCTGGGAACCTGAGTGCAGCTCAAGTGGCTGCTCAGAATGCAGTGGAGGCTGCCAAGAACCAGAAGGCTGGGCTGGGCCCTCGCTGTGAGTCCAGGGATGAGGATGTGGTTGGGGGCCAGCCCAGCCTCTCTCCACACACCTGCCCCCACCTCTTCCCTTGATCTCTCCCACAGTCTCGCCCATCAACCCTCTTCAGCAAGCCGCTCCAGGAGTGGGGCCTCCCTACAGCCAGGCCCAGGCTCCCCCACTGCCCCCAGGGGCCCCTGGCGCCCCCAAGCCACCACCTGCTTCCCAGCCCAGCCTAGTCTCCACTGTGGCCCCTGGCCCTGGCCTGGCACCCCCTGCACAGCCTGGGGCACCGTCCATGGTAGGTGTCAGCCTCCCTGCTTCTGACGCAGTGCAGGGGAGAAGCAGCTGGCCTTTCTGGGGAGGGCCCAAGGGCATGTGGATCTTGTTCTGGGACCTCAGGGGCTCATGGGCTTGTGGTACAGGTGACCCTGAGACTAGTGGGTCTGGAGACAGAATCATGGGGCTTGTGGTTCCAGGTGTTCTGAGGAGCCCAAGGGGTCCTGGGAGTCAAGGGCATCATGGGGCTTGAGAGTCTTTGAGTCCTGCAGGATCAG